AGGCGTCAATAAGAAAAATTGTTACAATTCTCGAAAAAAAAAAAAGGTTGCAATTCCCCAAAAAATTGCAATAGGCTTCTTGGAGAAGCTTTCTCATTTTTTTTAATGGTAATGGAAGTGACGGACGGAAGTTAACGGAAATGTAACGGACGAAGTAACGGAAGTGACGGACGTGTGCGAAAGTGACGAACGTGTGACGGACGTGTGACGAAAGTTACAAGGAAGGGCTATTTTCTTCAATTCTTATAGGTTATGGGCTAAAACCGTTATATTAAAAGGTGAAGGGCTAAAATCGTCCAACTTATCAAAGTAAGGGACTATTTTTAGGCTTTTGCCTCTAATGGTAGTATAGAGTTAAAGACTAAACTAGGAAAATTGTTAGAGAAAGCTAGATCTAAATTAAGATATTGCTTGTGAAACTGAAATGTAGATCATGCTAGGCTAGTTATGTGAGGTAGGTCTTGCTTGGTTTCTTATCTACCTATTTATAGTAGTAAACATTGACAACATGCTGGAGATCTATGATAGCATCTTGAAAACTAATGATAGCATCTTGAAAACTAATGATAGCATGAAATCTACAATAAATTGATTAATTTGTCGGTGCTGCCAGTTGTGCTCTTGGAAATTTGCAACAAACAAAAAGCTTTGTTGATGTTGTGAAAACAATCACTGAACCTTATTTAGAGAGATCTACATCAACAACTTTTCAACAAACAAAATTCCTTCCAACATGGATAACATGTGACACTATTCTATTTGTTACAAAAATGGGTGTAAACAATGCTCTCCAAAACTTGGTTGCACAACTTCATGGAACTGGAATCAAGTTTTTGAAAATTTTGTTCCTAGCACTCCTTCACCATGTTGCCATTGTAAAGGAACATGATATGTCCAAGAATGTAGAAATATGAGATTATTGTTTTCTTTAGCATAGCATTGGAATATCATTTGGTAGACATAGTGGCTTCATAGAGAAATAAACCACACTACAAAAAAAATGGCTATTTGCCAGCGAATAATGCGTTGGAAAATGAGTCAAAAGCATTGGAAATAACTTATTTTCCAGCATCTAACGCTGGAAAATGTTGCTAGAAAAATCTGCCTAGAAAATAATTATTTTCCAGCGCAAAGAGTGCGTTGGAAAATAATTCATAATATTTTATAGCGTAGTGCGCTGGAAAATACATATAAACGGCATGTAGATGACGGCTAATTGGCTGTTGTTAACTTTTTTTCAAACGCAATGCGCTAGAAATCTTCGAATGCTGCATGTTGGAAGACAAATTGCTGCTTATTTTCCAGCGTTATACGCTGGATAATAATGTTGAGGATAATGCATTTATCAAGTTATTTTCCAACGGAATACACTGGAAAATAATCCTCGCGATAACAGTCAGCACTGTGAAAAAAAGTGAACTTATGTTCCAACGGGAAGCGGTAGAAAATTATCTTGAGAATAAGCATCATCAACTCATTTTCCAGCATAATACGTTGGAAATTTTTCTGCAAATAAAAAAAAAAAAAAGGAACTTACTCTTAGTTTCCAACAGAATGCACTGGAAACAAAGAGTCAATTAACCCAAAAAAAATATAATTTTCAGTTTTTTAATGTGAAAATTTTCAATTAAAATCAATTATAATTGTAATATATATATACACACACCACTTAAATATCTTAAAAATAATATCATTTGAATAATTAAATCAACTTAAATTAATGAATATCACACATATAAACACAATAATATTTGACAAATTTTACTTTATAAATTTAGTCATATACAAAACTTTACATAATACATGTATTCTCTTAATTTTTTTCTAAATAAATTTAATTAAATACATAAATACACTTTAATGCCATGTAATTTATAAAATTACAAAAATTTAATTAAAATTAAATGATTATGGATAATACTTGCAGGCTTTTGAGAAGGCTCACAAATGATCTAGTATTTTTCAAGATTCTGTAGTATAAAGAACACTTCTGTTGGCCTCAACCACCTAGTTTGGGCTTCTCGAAATAGCTTATTGATAGCATACCTTGAGATTACTCCAACAAGTGAAACAATTTTTCTACTAAATCACATAAACAAATTCTACTCAACAAGTGAACTTAAATAACTAAAACTGTCATTAAAAAAAAAAGAAGTTCCGCCCCAAATTACAAAACTTAATCATCACAATCAAAATCCTTAGACGTTTCAATGAACTTTATAATTTCTTCATTTAATTAAAGAAAATGAACACTAAATCTCTAAGCTTATACAGAAACAACTTCAATGGTTTAACGAAATTCCTGAATTAGAACGAAGCATTAAAAACAATGGAACCTAACAGATTAACTGCATAGAGAAAAAGCTTTAAACTCCTTACCAGATTCCATCATTTCCAATTTGCGAAAAAGATGAAAGCCAAATAAATTGTAGAGAGAACGCTATTCCTTTGTTCGTTTGAAGCGTAGAGTGTTAAAACTCAATTCAGCGTGAAGATAAGAAGCCTAGCCACGGTGGAGACTACCATTGGAGATGAGGAGGTAATAGGAGAAAATGGAGAGAAATAGGAAGTAGAAGTGGTAAAAGAGAGCATGAAGGTGCAGCATCGTTTCCAATTTGCGAAAAAGATGAAAGCCAAACAAATTGTAGAGAGAACACTATTCCTTCATTCGTTTGAAGCGCAAAATGTTAGAACTCAATTTAGCATGAAGATAAGGAGCTTAGCCGAGGCGGAGACTACTGCTGGAGACGAGGAGGTAATAGGAGAAAAATGGGAAGAAGAAGTGGTAAAAGAGAGAATGAAGGTGCAGACAGGGAGAAAGTATATTTGTATAGAAATTAAATTATTTTCTAACGCATTGCGCTTGAAAATAATATAAGTTTTCAAAATTAAAAGCAAAAAGGCGGCATTTCAAAATTTTTCACATGGTGGAAGTCGGAGTATACTTATTTTCCAGTGCACTGCATTGGAAAATAAGCTAAATTTTGATATTATTTGAAAAGAGAGCGGCATTTCAAAATTTTTCACATGGTGGAAGGCGGAGTATACTTATTTACCAATGCACTGTGCTGGGAAATAAGCTAAAATTTGACATTATATGAAAAGAGGGCGGCATTCCAAAACTCTTCACATGGGGAAGGCCGGGTATACTTATTTTCTAGTGCATTGCACTGGAAAATGAGCTAACTTTTGATATTGTTTGAAAAGAATGCGGCATTTCAAACTTTAACAGGGGGGGATGGCGCGACACTTATTTTCCAATGCAATGTGCTGGAAAATATTCTGAATGGTGCAAAGTACTTATTTTCCAGTGTATTGCATTGGAAAATAGTTTGACCTATTTTCCAGTGCAATGCATTGGAAAATACCTCAAATGCTGAAAATTCAAAGAAAGAGCTTAGCACATTTATTTTTTCGAAAATGACATAAAATAAGTTCCTGGAATGAGAGGCAGGATTTTGTAAATTTCTACTAAAATCACAATATACTTATATTGCAATCATATATCACAATAAGTGTTTTCTAACATAATATATTACAAAATATGACTGCTTGAATGCATTGATTTTGAAATAATGAGTTTAGAGACAATAAATACACACATAAGACAAAATATCCCTAGTTGTTTTCAAATAAAAATGCTAGTACCTAATGACATATTCATCATATAACTTATATATGGTATTAATCATTTACCATAAAGGAGAAATTATATTATTGAATATTACTTTCTTTTATATTAAATCATGTTACTTGTTAAATACAAGTCACTATTTAGTAAATAATTTATTAATTAACAAATTTAGCTTAATCAACTATTACTATTTTTTTAACTTATTATTTGTACTTTTATGATTAAATAACAATTTGTTATTCAACAACTTTTATTTGTGAAAATCAAATTTCATGCAAAATTAAATAAAAAGAATTAATAATGTAATTATATTATTACCTTAATAATTTCTTCCAATTTTATAGCTATCAAGAACAAAATGATAATCTCATCTCTAATATAGAAACATGGCCAATAGATTAGGCTATAAGAGAAAACATTTTATTGGTATTATAGTTTTGGATTATAAGAGTGCATGAAAATTCCCATTAAAAACAACAAAATGACAACTTTTTTTCATCAAAATATCTTGAAACACTAAGCAAGGTAGAATGCACAAGTTATTTAAACTTGGATAAGAGTTTTAATGAATAGATTGAAAATTAACTTTTAATTTTCACCGATTAATGCAAATCAAATTAACTATCAAAATAAGAAATGACAATGGTGAAAAAAGAAAAAAAGATTAATTAACATGCAATAGTCCTATTACATAAATTTTGAACTTTAATAGTAGATAAATTGACATAAAGATGACACATTATAATGTTTAAAATAAATGGCAATGTAGATAATTTATAACTTATCTAGTTCAATTTCATTATATCTCCTTTACGAAAAGAAAAAATACAAGAAAGAAATACATAATACACATACAACACAAGCACAAGCACACGTAAGATGAGGATAACCTTGTCTTTTCCTTTAGATTTCTTTATTTTGTATTACTTTTTTTTTATTAATAAATCTCTAAAATTATTTATTTCTTTATTCCTCCTTATTAATTAGTGGACCATGTGGTACCAATTCAATAACTTTTAAGAATACTTTTCATCAATACCATAACACTATCCATCCAAACAAAAATTATAGGCAGCTCCAGTGAAAAAAAACTTATATAAATGAAGTCAAAAATCACAGACAAAACTAACAAAACTAACAAAAACCAATAAATCCAATATGGCTAAAAGACACACAACCCATCTTAAGATCCAACCCAACAAGCAAATCTCAAACTCACAAAGATAACATAGAAAGTTACAAACAAATTAAACTCATAGAACTAACAAATTAAACCAACGAAACCAATCTACATGGCCAAAAAACCAAAATCCATCAGATAAAACCCAAAAAACAAAAAATCTAAAAGTACTACAGAATTGAACAAGTTTATTTGAAAATCAAAGCAAGGAGCAAGCTTTGATCTTATTTATGCTAGGAATAATTTGATTGGCGGAGAGGCAAAAGGACAGTGCCAATTGGGGCTACTAAGCTAAAAAAAAAGTCAGCAAATTAAAAAAAAAAATGTGAGAAAAACATACAAATAGGTTGGAACCTTGCCGAACATACCTTTTTCGGTGACCAAACAACAAGAATTGACTAAAAACAAAGTGGCAGCTTGAGGCACAGTAGAGATGGCTGAAACTGGGAAAGACGAAACGGAGATGAGGAAGGAAAGGGGGGTTTTTGTAGGCCTAGGGGTGTTTTGTTAGGCTTAGACTGTTTTTTTTTTTTTTTTTTCAGCTTTTTGAAAATAGGCAATGGGAGTTGGGAGTTGTGACAGGCTGTAAATAATTGTAAGCATAAAAATTTTCCAGCACACGTTGCTGGAAAATATGAAAGTGTAGTTAGTCATCACCATTAACTCATTATTTTTCAGCGTGTTGCGCTGGAAAATATTTTTTTGCCAATGTCAATTATTTTTTATAAATTAAATAATTATTATTTATATTATTTTCCAGTGTTTGTCGCTGGAAAATAATGAGGGACAAAAATTTCTTTTGGCGCGTTATTATTTTCCAACGTTGAACACTGAAAAATACTTATTTCTGTCAAATATTCATGTAAATGAAAATATTTACCAGTAACTTTATTTTCTAGTGCAATGCATTAGAAAATAGTTAATTATTTGGCATCACAATCCTGCACTGGAAAATACCCGCTGGAAAATGGACAAAATTCTAGTAGTGCCAGCTAAATGTGTATTTGCAAAAATGGAAAAATATAGCCTCCAAAAGAACAATTTCGTGAATTCCATTTTTTTGGTTGACATGGAGACATAAATAAAGCATGCCTCCATAGAAAGCATAGTGTCACAAAAGCAATGCCCTTTCATAGCCTTCCTTAAGGCACTTTAACTGCAATGTTATTCACATTTATTATAAAACATTATTACAAATGAAGACTAAATTAAAACTGCCTTCACTTAAGGATGTCAATGGGGCCCCGTGAGGCCAGGGAGTCCTTCTCCGTCCTTGTCCCCATCCCCTTTGAGAGGACAGAGATCCCTACGGGGATTTTTAACGGGGGGGCAGATTTTGCCCCCCATCCTCGTTCCTCATGGGGAGTGGGGATTCCCGCGGGGATCCCCATTCCCCACCACTTAATATAAACAAATAATTTTTTTACATATAATTAATTAATATTCAATTATAATGAATAAAATTCTAAAAATTTAAGTATAATTAATTAAAATTCTTTAAATATAAATCCAAATATAAATTGTCCAAACATAAATAAAGATTAATCCAATATAAATAACTAAAAAGTTAATAATAGATTGGGTAAAATTAGATTAAATTTAAATTTTATTAAATTGGATTT